AACGTATTATCTGCTTAAATTGGACATACTTTCTTCACGAATCACCATTTAGTCTGAATCTTTATAATTCAGAGAAACTTGTACAATTATCCTACTGACATAAACGAAGATCGTTATAATATGATACGATTCCAATACACTACAAATCAGCATCCAGAGAGGTCACAACGCAAGATTTTGCCCCAGAAAAACGCGTTGATCTGGTTGACACAAGACCAAAGCTTCTCAAAGCACCCGAAGTAGCACTGTAAATTTTCAAAGACTTACGACACATATAGACTATATGTATATATGTTGCATGTGTATTAGATTTGAACCCCGGAAGTGCTGAACGTTTGATACAACCATTCGCAAATTTATAAGTTACTAAAAAGAAGCTGCTGAAACAGAGTGTACAGCTATCGAAAAGGTCTCAAATCTGCATTTTCTAGGGTGTCTACATACTTCATAATCGGCCTATCCTTGTGACACTGATAGCAATAAAGATCGGCAAATCGAGAGTACGGCACGGTCGCTTTACCAGATAGCCTTATCAGCCTAACTCAACCCAGCTTCTAATCCTGCCCCGCTTTCTATCTCAAAGTTAAGCTTGATGTACCTCTGTGAGGAACTCAATATTTCCAGTCTACACCTTGTGGAACAGTGCGCCGCGAAGTGCGTTGTCACGAATGGATAAAGTTTTCGGTGATATTTATAAGAACCCCATGATATGAGTTTTCATGCTTTCATATTGACTTAGTGCTTCTACTGTCTTACTTGCATAGCAACTTCCAAATGAAAGCCACTAATCCATATCCACCGTTTTAATTTCTTTCGCAGACAATTTCAATCTAGTTTGAGTTGAAAACTGTTTAATTTTCTAAAAGTTCCAAAAAAAAGGACTAAAGACAAAGCAGTTCATGTACACTCATGATTATGAGGCTCAAATAAAAGAAATAAAATCCTCATTCCTTGTAGTCATGCACCTAACAGGCGGACTTTTTCCTTAATGATTTAACTCTAAATTAACGCAGCTTGCAGATAAGCCAAACTCTAAGGAAAAAAGTGCAGCACAATTGAAAGCTGGACGGAATTTCAGCTGCTGTCGATCTCTCCCGCAACCAAACGTGCAGCAGCTCCATCGGCCGATCCTTATTGTGCTTATAAGCGTTAGCATCGACAGACCCTTATAAAGTATGGAGATATCCTAAGTCACTTTAAAAATCGATACCAGTTAAGCGCTCAGCAGCTTGGTTCATTGTAACAGCTATTGAAGAAGTGAAAACAACAAAAGTGAATTTACGCAACTATTATACTATGATTGGCAGTCTTGCTACGATAAAATTATGCATGGATGGATATGTTCAGAATTTTCTTGCGAAACGATTCTAATCTGTTTAAACTACTCTTAAAAGTGCACACGATCTTTCACCTTTTCAAACACTCGTCCATCTGGCTGCTTTTCGTGATGAACTGCTAACAGCTGACGTGTTCCCAGAGCAGGAGACTCATCGTACAGCTCGACTACATGTCGCCACATCTTAACAAAAGAGAACACTAAAAAGAAACTAAAACTTCAGATAGTTAATGCTCACCTTGTCAACCGTGTCTTTTCCAGGGAACTCCTCCGTTTTTAACCCATCCACATGTCTGATGGGACCATCGCGCTCGTCAACCCATTGAGCCTGTAAAAATGGCAAGATTTCAGCTAACACAGCAGAACATATACCTTTAACTCTTGAAACAGTTGCTAACGGGAATTGGTCAGGAAATTATTCTCAATTAACTAATTTGAAGCAAAGTCCCTTTTATTCTCGCGAAAGATCAATGACATTCAGGTCACCAAAATTGTAAGATTCTATAAAATACTTGTGATGTGCTAGATTTCTATGCAAAAGCGGAAAATGATCATTTTCGATAGAATTAATCTACGTCAACACGATACAGCTCCAAGAACTGGGTAATCTACATCGGAGCTTAGCGCAAGTACGGCAGAGATAATTGAGGGGCATGTCAATAGAAAACCATCTGTAATAAATTGTTAGTGAAAAAATGAAGCTAAATGGTTGGGTAAAATACTAATGCTGGCAAGCGAAAGTAGTTCAAATATTGTTTGCCCTAACTATCATTGAAGCACCTCGCAATAATGATATCCCAATATTGAGTGGGAGATAGTTAATGGGTTGTTAGCGTTAAACTTTTATCAACTATCACAGCGAACCATGAAGTGCTATATCTCGACTAAATCAAGCAAAAGAAATTGGATTTATCCCCTTGAGCCTTACTATGCTGAAACTAATCCATAGTGTCTTAAAAAATGTGATCACTGTTGAGCGTTAACAACTCCTTTATTACCAAAACTTTTTGAGCCGTAAGGTTCACCTGAAAAATCAGCTTAAACTTATCCATATATTGACGAATCTGCAACTTTTACATCACTTTGAGAATACTGTATGCAATACAACGATATTCTTGCATTGACGTAAAGCATTTTGGCAGTTACAAATAATGGTTTCAACAACAAAGAGAACTTCACTGATTAACTTATGACACGCTAAGGGCAGTATGATAAGAAATTGATAGCGATAGCGCTATGGCCACCTAAAAGACACTGTAGTCCTGAGTAATCACTAACAGTACAATATTGTTAACAAGAAGAAGTTTCACGTCAACATAGCCCTTCAAAATGAATTTAAAAGTCCTGGAAAAGATTCCGAGTTGGATATTTACGATCAAACAGTAATCACATTTCTTTATTCTTTATTTCAAGTCAAATATTGAACTTCGTTATCGTGTTGGAAGAAGTTTGTCTCTAAAAATGCTCAGGGCTTTCCTCTTTCTGTTTGGGAGCATATAAGAGCTAAGAAGATGATAACAAAAGTAAAATAAGTCAGGAATTTATAGGTCTTATAGCAATAAACACTTCTCGAAAGGTATTGTAGTGTGATACGTCTATGACTTGAAAAGATTTGAAACAAAAATGCTTTCTCAAAAAAATGCAAAAAATGCTTTTGTTGGGAACGAAATCCCATCAAATCGAGTAATTCCACCAAAAACAACGACGGCTGCAAAGTGATGACTACTATAATTAAGAATCATTTTTCTCATTTTTCGAGGTGCTTCCAAATACTACGATTTAGGGAGGTTTTATGAAGAAAGTCACGCAGAGATGACAACTATCATTCAATACAATACAGTTCTCTAGCCATCTCTACGTTAAAACGCAACCATACTAGCTGCTATTCGCCATTAATCCCTTCTCCTGCTCATTTCGTCCGTACTTCAAATAGTTCAAATAGCTTCAATGATTTCCCGTCCATAGCTT